GAACAAATGTGGTCAATTTTTTTTTTTTTGAGAGTCAGGGGAGGGGCCAGCCTAGGGGACAGGAGGAGCCAGTATATTCTGAAGGCTTTTAATGCTTCCTTCTGCCCCCTCCTCCTGCGTCCTGCCTCCTGCCAGTCGCCACCAGGAAGATGTCTGTTCCTAAGCTTTCTGTCTGGCTAAGATGGAACCTATTGTGGGACAGAATACAGCTTCCTGTCATACATACACAGATACACACACATGCACACACACTCACACACAAATCAACCAGCTGCAGAGCGAGCAACAGGAGGTGGCAGGATGCTTGCCACCGTGTCCCTGGATTTGTAAGCATCCCCTCCAAACCTTGGCCAAGGCTAGTTATTTCCTGGGCTAAAGCCAACCTGAGAACTCAGGGACCTGCCAAAGCCTTGACAGCCCCTAAACCTGGCTCTGTTGCCAGAGCCACACAGCAAAGTCATTAACTCTTTAAATAAAAGTTCAGTAAATGATTAGGGCACCCAGTATTTGCTCAGCAGTGGGCTAGCTGCAGAGAGGCTATCTGGGCATTCACTTTAAGGAACCTAGACTATTTGGGTGAGAGGGGTATGGCATATACTCATTTAAAGTTGAATCACATCACAAGGTATGCCACTCGAACTAGTATTAAGTAAATGCCAAATGACCTTTCAGAGGAGGGAGCTTACGGAAGGTGAACTGCCAGTGGCAGAGAAAGGGACACATTGTGACGTAGTGGAGTGATTCTGGGCTTTGGAGCCAGACAGACGGGGTGCAAATTCTCATTGTGGAATCACAGTCAAGTTCCTCATCCTTTCCAGACTTAGTTTCCTTACCGGTGGAAAGCAGTGAGGGCATCCGCCTTTTGGAGCTGTCGAGGGGACTATATGGGTCAGCGGCACATAACAAGCACTCGATAAATGTTAGAGTTTTGTTTGTTTGTTTTTTAAAGAACATCATACAGTAGTTCAGAATAGACATTTAGGTAGAATTAGCCCAGGGAAAGTAAAGGGAGACAATTCCTTGAAAAGGGGAAAGGAGGATTATTATGGAAAAAGTCATCACACCTACCGTGTTTCCCCGAAAATAAGACAGGGTCTGATATTTATTTTTCCTCAAGAAGACACCCTAGGGCTTATTTTCAGGGGATGTGTTATTTTCCCCTCAAAGCCTCAGCTTACAGCACGCACAGGATGGCCAGGACCTGACAGGGGGAGCCCACCTTGTTGGTGGGGCTGCCCACATCTTTCTGGTCACCTCTGGGATAGTAGCTGTCACGAAGGGGCAGATGAGAAGGGCTTCTCATCTTCTTTACTGCTCTGCGACGAAATGCATGGGTTGTGCAGATAGGCTGTGAAGCCACACCCATCACTAGGTCTTACTTTGAGATAGAGCTTATATTGTGCAAATGCTTAGAAATCCTGCTAGGGTTTATTTTATGGGTAAGTCTTATTTTCCGGAAAACGCAGTAGTAAATACTTTAGGAAGGGGAAAGGTATGAGAATGGAGACAGGCCTTCTGATTCCTTTTCTGCCATAAAATTCATTGACTTTCTTCCTGAATATGAAAATGTTTCATGTCTAGTATAGAAAATTTGGAAAGCATAGAAAAATGTAAGGAAGAAAGTAAAAAATCAAATATAATTCTGCACCCCGTGAGAACTCCTATAAACATTTTGGTTTTCCTCCCAATCTTTTCCGAATGCATATTTTAACATAACTGACATCACACAATACACGCAATTTGGGCTTTTTTTTTCTTTTAATAGGTTTGGGGGTACGGGTTGAATTCCATTACATGTACATATTGTATGGTGGTGGAGTCTGGGCTTTTAGTGCACCCCTCACCTGAGTCGTGTCCATCGTACCCCATAAGTAATTTTTTATCCCCCACCCTCTTCTACTCTCCCCTCTTTTGAGTCTTCAATGTCCATTATCCTACTCTGTATACACATAATTTTGAATCCTGTTCTTTTCACTTAATATTTCATAAGTATTTTCCCATGTCACTAAAAATTCTTCACAAACATCATATGCAATGTTCACATGGAATTTTATATATGGATGTTTCCAAAAGTTTCTCAACTATTCCACTAACAGTGGTTATTTAGGGCTATTCAGACATTTCACTATCATAAATAATGCTTCCATGAATACCTTTGTGGCATAAATCCTAGTCCATTAGGAGAAGTTCCTATAGGTGGAATTACAGTTCCAAGGTTCCCGCTGAAAAAAAAATGCTTTCCAGTGACACTGTCCCAACCCACATTCCCACCAGTGACAAGCGAGAGACAGCTGGTTTTTTCAAATCTGGAGACCAAATATTATCTTTGAAAAAAATGTTTTTTGGCTAATTTGATAGTCACTAAATAACATTCCATTGTTCTTTTATTTATTTATTTTTTTGGTGACAGAGTCTCACTCTGTTGCCTGGGCTAGAGTGCCATGGTGTCCACCTAGCTCACAGCAACTTCATACTCCTGGGCTCAAGCGATCCTTCTGCCTCAGCCTCCCGAGTAGCTGGGACTACAGGCATGTGCCACCATGCCCGGCTAATTTTTTTTTTCCATATATTTTTAGTTAGTCAATTAATTCCTTTTTATTTTTATTTTTTTAGTAGAGACGGGATCTCACTCTTGCTCAGACTGGTTTCAAACTCCTGACCTTAAATGATGGGTTGCTCGGCCTCCCAGAGTGCTAGGATTACACGCATGAGCCACCACTCCGGGCCCCATTGTTCTTTTAATTATCTGTTTCCTTTTAGCAGATATACCTAAAAAGATCTAAAAGGAATCTTCAGATAAAGAAGGCGGTGCTTTCTTTTGTCTGCCAACAATCAACAAATATTTGTTATGCAAATCATTTTACTCCAAATTTATTCTCTCTCCCTTTTTGGACAGGTTTGGGAGATTTCACCTTTCAAATTTTAGCCACTTAGAAGAGAGGAGTTTTGAGGTGCAATGCAACTGACATTCCAGGATAAAATATACTGATTGTGCGACTAGTAGGCTTCATGAAAAGCGAGTCATGTTACCGGCCTGAAATTCCAGTCCTTCGAGAGACAGGATGCCTGTCCTACCTACTCTATAAAAATACGAAGATCCTTAAGTTTTATTTATGATTTGATAAAAGTAAAAGTACTTTCAAGTTTTTGTTTGTTTGTTTCAACGATTACGCGTTTGTTATAAAAGATACCACAAAGGATGCAGATCAAAGAGAGGCACGGGGCAAGGAATGGGGGACGGGGGTGTAGAGCTTCCAGGCCCTCTCCCCAGAGCGCCACCCTCCAGGAACCTGAAGTTTTTAAAAATTCTACATAATGTAATTTTAGGATTGATTTTATCTGGTCATTATTGTGTGTCCTAATTTGGCAATTTCTGAGACTCTGCCTCCCGTCTGTAATATCAGCTTTGCTGTGTCCATGAAAATGGGGAGATGAGGACCTTCCGCGACAGACACTAGGGCGGGGGCCCAGACAAAAGAGGAAAGTCAGGCCCCGTGACAGAGAAAGTTCCCAGCCTGCGCACTACCTCTGGAACACCTCCAGACTGAAAGGTTTTATTTTTTGATGAAGAAAAGGGGGGCGCAGGGTTTAGGGTCCAGTCTGGGCAGTTCCTCTCCTTCCTGGAGTGTGTGTGTGTGTGTGTGTGTGTGTGTGTGTGTGGCGGGGGCATCTGGGGTCCATGTCGTGGCGCACGCACCGCGGTCCCAGCCACGACTGCTGCGGTCACCTTGCCCGCGGGTGCGTATTTCTCGGCCCCGCCCCGCCCAGCCCCGGCGCCGGCGGGGAGTAGCGCCAGGTGGAAAGCACTGTCTGGGCGCCCACTGCAAACCTCAGCCTGTCTGGGACAGTTTTAAAAGTCCAACCTCAAAAGAAAAAAAAAAGAAAGAAAGAAAGAAAAAGAAAGTCCAAGCTCTAACCCCACTCCGCCCCGCCCAGCTCCTCAACCTAATTTCTCCTCCGCGCCACCGCTCGCCCGTCGCACAAAATCGTGGGAGACTCTGCACGTGGAGTCCGCAGATCTGGGTTCAAGCCCAGGTTGGAATCTCAGGCCATCCCTGGCGTTTCATCTGGCCGAGCCTGTTTCCTGTTCCCTCTGCGCGCGCGCGCGGGCCTCGCTGGGTTCACCGCCGGGACCCCAGCGCTTAGAGCAGTGGGTGTCACTTAGTCGCCCGTCTGTAAATAAATGTGCACCGACTGCATCTCTGTAATGGTGACACCCACAGGGTGTTGTGAGAATGAAAGAGTGGCTACGAGTTCCCCGTGATCTGTTACAAAAAGTACTAGTCGCTAAATTACTCTTCCAATAATAAAAGCACACTTGATAATAAAGTCCTGTTTACAAACTGGCTGCCCCTGTTTGTGACATTCCTGCCGCGCGCACGCATCTACCTCTCAGTCGCAGACTCCAGAACCGTGCCACACCCTACCTTCTCCTGAAAGTGTTTGCTGATTGTCTACACCTGCCCCTGGTGTTGTTGTGAGTACTGCGCACGTATCTTTGTGCTCCAAAGGATCTTTACGTATTTCATCTTCTGAATGGACCGAATCTGCTGGAAGGACGGGGAATGGAGTCAGACGCTAGCTTGGCTCGACTTCCAACAATGCCGCCTACCGGCTGGGTTACTCCCGCGTGTCACCTCCCCTCCCTGGGCCTCAGTGTCTCCACTGTAGCATTCCCAGGTCTGGAATTTCATCCACGTGAGCGAGGATGGATGCACCACACTGGGGCGCGTCCCTTGCCCGCGCTCCCCGCCGCGTCCCCTCGGCCGTTCCCCACTTGCCCCCAGGCGCATCCCGCTTTCCCCAAGTTAGGGAACGCCTCTGGGATGTCCTGCAGGGCTGCAGACCCCGCGACAGGACCACCAGCGACCCGCGGCGGCTCGCAGGGCTCCCCAGGGCGCTCACCCCTCCGCCCCGCCCCTGCGCCCTCCTCCCTCTCGCCTGCACTCTCTCCCCCTCCCCGCTCGGGATGCGCATGCGCCGCTCCGGGAGCGTGTTTTTATAAGTCCGGCTTCGGCCAGAAACTTCAGTTTGTTGGCTGCTGCAGCAGGTAGCAAAGTGACTCTAAGGTTTCGAGAGGTGCTGTAGCCACCGCGGCTGGCGAACAAGCGATTACCATGGAAGGGATCAGTGTAAGTCCAATTTCAACCTGCTTTGTCATAAACATGCAAGCGCGTGAACTTAGAGCGAAGCCCCTCACCGAGTGGGCAGAAGCAACCAGAACCTTGGAGGTGCCCGTGCCGCAAAGGAGGGGCGCGAAAAGGAGTTTTCTTGACTTTGGCTATGGGGGAGGGGGGTTAGGATTGGAATCTTTTTTCTCTGTTAAGTAGAGGAGAAAAGATTGTAATGAGCGTTCTGGTGGCTGCCCGCGTCTCCCCCCTTGAACGCGGCGGCGCGCGGCGGCTTGCACGCTGTTTGCAAACATTAAGAGCGTTCTGTGCACAAGTGCAGGAAGGCGTGCGCGCCGCCCGGTACTCAGATCCTAGGATCTGTTCCTCAGGGGGAGCGGGGATTTCTTGGAGCGAGTTACATTCTCTGAATTTAAAGGCAGAGGGCAGCGCGCCTGGGCTGCGTTCCCAAAAGGAGTCTGTGCCCTGCTTTAACTTCAGGCAAAAGCTCCTGGGGACTCTTCTTGACGTTGGGCGCGTTTGTTAAACTCTGTGTGGCCCGCGGAGCCGTGCCAGTCCCCGTGCCAGTCCCCAGGCATAGCGGGCAGAGGGCGGGAAGGGCGGGTAGACCCGCCGCGCAGACCGCCTGAGGGCACTGAGTGGTGGCAGTAGCTAAGAGGTGGCCAGGAGCAGCCCGCGCGCCTTGGGATCGAGGGGGAAACCTTTCCGGCGTCCCACGGCCGCGAGTGGGCCCCGAGGCGCGAGAGTTTGGAATCGTGCAGCGGTCAAAGGGGTGGTTTGAACTCCTCTCTGACACCGAGCAGCTGCTGGCCCCGAGTTGCGCGCTGCGGGGCCGCGGACGGGGGCGATGGGTAGGGGGGTTAGGACCGCACCTGGGTCGCCGGGTAGCTGCGGCGAAGACGGGCAGGTGCAAGTGGGGAGACCGTTTAGCTCTCTCCAAGCCCGATTGTGGCGTGTAACCGACGGTGGTTTCCTGAAGCCTTTTGAAACCCCCTTGCTGGGGAGGCTTTTCGTTTCCTCCCGCGGCGCGCAATTCAAAGGCGCTCGCCGAGGAGCCGCCCAGTCTCTCGCCAGCACCCTGTGGGACAGAGCCTGGCGGGCGGCCCCGCAGAACCCCTGGGGCCGCGGCCTGTCGGGCGTGGGCGTGGGCGTGGTGGGCAGCCGCGGTGGCCTGGGGCTGGGGACCCGGCCCCTGGCGTGCCCACTGCCTGGAGGCTTCCAGCTGTCCACCCCAGACCCCGTTAACTGGATATATGGCAGGGCGGGAAGCGGCCCGGGAGAGTGAGGAAATGAAACTTGGGGTGAGGACCACGGGTGCAGAACCCGTGACCTTCCCCACCCAGGAAAATGCCGCGCTCCCCAACGTCCCAAACGCGCCAAGTGACCAACATGAGGATGGCAGAAGAGACTCACGCCCTGGAGCAGCGCCCGCTTGGGGGAGGGGTGCCATTTGTTGGTTTCTGACACTCCCGCCCGATACCCCAGCACCGCAGGTCCTTCTTTTTAAGGCCGCGTTCCCCCTTCCCTGCTACATGTTGCTTGAAGCGCGGGATGGTTTGTGTTTAGACAGGCGTGGGAAAAATAATGTTCCGAGCCTTAGGAAGAATGAGTCTTTGGACCCCCGTGCGCCTCCCTCTCCTCTTCCCTCTTTTGGCGGAGCTTCATACAAAAAGTTAATCCCAGCTCCTGGTCGCAGCACCCACCCCACCCCCCACGCCGCCTGGGAGTGGCTTCTTTGTGTGTATGGGGTTTTTTTTTTCCTCCCAAGGTTTTTTTTTCTTCACTCTAGTGGGCGTGGCAGAAGAGTTAGCCAAGATGTGACTTTGAAACCCTCAGGATCTCAGCGCCCTTTTGTTCTAGCAAAGAATTTTGTGATTGGCTCTACTAAAGACGGCTATAACGAAGTGACTATGGGGGGAGATGGGGTGGAGGATTCTACAATAAATTCTCTTGTGCCCTTGCCCCAGTACTTCAGAATATCCTGAAAGAAGGCTAAGCCTGAATTTGGGTTTAAATTTTTAAATAGCTTTTTTTAAACATCAAAAAAAATTTTTTAAAACTTGGGTAATGCTGCCTGCTGAATTTGGAAGTGAATGTGTGATCCCTTGCCTCTTTTGCAGATATACACTCCAGATAACTACACGGAGGAACTGGGCTCAGGGGACTATGACTCCATAAAGGAACCCTGCTTCCGGGAAGAAAATGCCCATTTCAACCGGATCTTCCTGCCCACCATCTACTCCATCATTTTCTTGACTGGCATAGTGGGCAATGGATTGGTCATCCTGGTCATGGGTTACCAGAAGAAACTCAGAAGCATGACCGACAAGTACAGGCTGCACCTGTCCGTGGCCGATCTTCTCTTTGTCATCACGCTTCCCTTCTGGGCAGTTGATGCTGTAGCCAACTGGTACTTCGGGAAGTTCCTGTGCAAAGCCGTCCATATCATCTACACAGTCAACCTCTACAGCAGTGTCCTCATCCTGGCCTTCATCAGTCTGGACCGGTACCTGGCCATCGTCCACGCCACCAACAGCCAGAGGCCCAGGAAGCTGTTGGCTGAAAAGGTGATCTATGCTGGCGTCTGGCTCCCAGCACTCCTGCTGACAATTCCTGATTTCATCTTCGCCAGCGTCAGTGAGGCGGAGGACAGATACATCTGTGACCGTTTGTACCCCAATGATTTGTGGCTGGTTGTGTTCCAGTTCCAGCACATCATGGTCGGCCTCATCCTGCCTGGTATAGTCATCCTGTCGTGCTATTGCATTATCATCTCCAAGCTGTCACACTCCAAGGGCTACCAAAAGCGCAAGGCCCTCAAGACCACAGTCATCCTCATCCTGGCTTTCTTCGCCTGCTGGCTGCCCTACTACATTGGGATCAGCATCGACTCCTTCATCCTCCTGGAAATCATCAAACAAGGATGTGAGTTTGAGAACACTGTGCACAAGTGGATTTCCATCACCGAGGCCCTGGCCTTTTTCCACTGTTGCCTGAATCCCATCCTCTATGCTTTCCTTGGAGCCAAATTTAAAACCTCTGCCCAGCATGCGCTCAGCTCTGTGAGCAGAGGGTCCAGCCTCAAGATCCTCTCCAAAGGAAAGCGAGGTGGACATTCTTCTGTTTCTACGGAATCTGAGTCTTCAAGTTTTCATTCTAGCTAACACCGATGGAAAAGACTTTTTTTTACACAATGAGGAACTTTTTTTTAAGTGACACATTTTTCAGATATAAAAGACTGACCAGTACTGTACAGTTTTTATTGATTATTGGATTTTGTCTTGTGTTTCTTTAGTTTTGTAAAGTTTAATTGACTTATTTATATAAATATTTTTTTGTTTCATGTTGATGTGCATGTAGGCAGGACCTGTGGCCAAGTTCTTAGTTGCTATTTTATGTCTGGTTGTAGGACTGTAGAAAAGGGAACTGAACTTTCCAGAGTGTGTAGTGAATCATGGAAAGCTTAGAAGTGATCCTCAGTGGTTTGTGCATAAATAATTTCTCCATTCTTGTGGAACATCTTTTTTTTTTCCCTGTTGTGAAGTTGTCTGGTTACACTATGTGATTTTGCTGTAGAAGTGGGCTCTTATAACCAAAGTCTAAAGTCATATAGAAATGCTGGTTTTCAGTTTTCAGGAGGGGATTGATTTCAGTACCTGCAATGTACAGTCTTGTATTAAGTTGTTAATAAAAGTACATGATAAACTTAGCATGATCTGATTTCTGTTGACATTCTTTTGCCTGGCAGAAGACAAAAATGATAATAGATACGTTTATGGCACTCAAGCTACCTGTCTTAGGTATTTTCATTGTAATATTTTACTTAACCCTTATCACAGTTCTGTAATAGATTCTGCTTCTGTTATTACTTAAATGCTATAGAGGTGCAGAAAACCTAAGTAACTGGGTCAAAGGCATGTGTTTGGTAAGTAGCAGAGCCAGTATTTAAAACCAGGTAACATGAATCTGAAGCCCTAACCACTTTCAACTCCGGTGTAAGTTTGGAAATGTCCAGCCAGTCCCCATTCCTAAGAAAGCTTACTTTTCAGAAGGATAAGTACATGCAAAGAAGAAAAGGTATACAGTAGTGTTTGGGTTTCACTCTGCCAGCCCCTAGTGTAATCCAGGTCTGTGCCTTGCTAGGAGCTGTATTCTTTTCTCATCTAATCCTCAACACAGAGACCATCACTCCCTATAGACAAGAGAATTTAAATTCAGAGACCTTCCATAATTTGCACTTTCACGGAGCAGAGCCCAGAGCTGACAGCCTTTGCTCTCAATCATCACCCACTGTTGTCCCTCAGAACACCTGGTCATGAGTCAACTGAACTGTCAATAAAGAAAATAAAGCCAAAAGTGAATGTTTTCTTCATAAAATTAGCCACAACCAAAATATGCGTCTTATAATATCTTCTATGCAAATCTCAACACCTTTACTCTCAATCTATTGCAACATCTAGCCCCCCCTCAAAGACCCAGCCAAGCAGCTAACAGTTTGTGTTGGTGCTTTTAAGAGCTCGGGAGAAAGGTCCCTTGAAGCAAGCTCCCCATTGCACATATTTTGCACAAGATTTTGGAGTCTTATGTAACATCACCCATAGCTATTTACACTACCGTTGTGCAAGCCTCAGACTCTTGAGTAAATTTCAGCTCTGGTTTCCATTTAAAGATAATTTCTAAACTGTAGTAGCCATACCTACCTCACTTTGGAACACAAAACAGGGCAGTCCAGGCATGCACTCAGATAATAAGTAGGATATAATTAAGGCAATATTTGGTCTACTTTTAGTAATTGTTTCTGGCACAGAAAATCCATTTTGGAGGAAAAACTGCAATGCCTTATCTTTCTGAGGCAAATCACATTTGTTCAAGGCAAATTATAGATCCTGTGAAGGGGAATAACTTAATTACTTAAAATAGAATCCAATTTGGCTGTACATTTTTGCTGCAGTCTATGGATCTGGGATAATTCAGAGTGGTGTTCCTAGTCCACTTGAGAACACAATTAGATTTTAGATAGGAAATTATCTTGAGGTTTCTTAGTTTTCCCTGGGAAGCCTAATTGGATCACCCTTCATCTAAGCGTAGTTTTACATGTACTCTCTCAAAGGCTTAGTCTTGAAGCCGTGACCATTGTGACAGACTTCACTTGAACCTTTTCTATAAATATTTATTCTCTGGGAAACAATAGAAAAGAAATCCTTGGAAGGCATTCTTTTTCTTTCTCATCTTGGCTTGAAACCAAAGGAGATTCCTCTCCTTTGCCGTGGAGTTACAACAAAAGGAACTGAGCCGAAACAAAATTCCCAGTGTCACTGGTCTTAGTGGATATTTCATTCTCCCTTGAGACAAAGGTGGGATAGCTCTTTTTCAGAAAGAAAAACAGCCTTGGCTCTCTCCCTCCCCTGAAAGAGTGGTCCCCCCCACCCCACGCTCCCCTCCCCTGCATCATTCTCTGTCCGGACCCTGCCATGTTCAGAGTGGCTCCAAAGCGGTCCCTGTGTCGTGGTCTGTCTGACGACTGGGGAAACCCAGTCTGCTGGCCAGCCCTTGCATGAAGCAGCTAATTGTTCCCTTTCCTCATCCCTTATGAATAGGGCCCTTGAAGGTCAGTAATGTAGATTCACTTGTATAATGGAAGCTAAAATATTTAAATTGTATGCATGCTGCCAACAATGGCATAAATATGACATCGGACTTATTAATAACATTAAGGCCACAACTGGGGAGGAAAATGGATGTTTTTATCTTGCAAAGCCTTTGTTTTCCTAAAATGCCACTTGGCTATTTATCTCCCCCTACTGTGGGCTTCCCAGCCTCCTTTTGTGGTTAAGTGTATATATTACAATAAGGATTCTGGGATACTCTTAGAGGAGGTTACCCTACAGGCTTTATTTTAATAGTTGAACTAAGTGCGACTTTCTCCTAGCTTATTGTCAGATACTAAATAAAGGCTCCACAAGCAATTGAGTTGCCATTAGTCCCCGTGTAATTTTCATTTAGGAGGGGTAGAGACCACTGGAGATAAAATTCAGACTGCCTTAGAAAATACCCCAGGCATCCCCCAAGACTTAGAAATGCAGCATTACATCCTGGCATCATAGGCATTTGCCCAATCCACTTGGAAGAGGCAAGCAGCAGGTTGAATAACATTCCCACAGGCATAGTCTAAGAGGTGCGTTGGCACCTCAGGGGCCAATAAAATAGTTGAAATGAATTATTTGAAAACAATGGTCCTTAACTGGGGGCAATTTTGCCCATTAGAGAACATTCGGTAAGGTCTAGAAACATCTGGGTTATTATACTGGGTGGGGTAGGGGAGCAGGAGCTCATGGGTCGGGGTTAGGAATGTTGCTAACATCCTACAGTGCACAGAACAGCCCACCACAAAGAATCATCTGACCCGAAATGTCAGTAATGCTCAAAGATGAGAACCCCCTTTTTAAGGTGATAATAATTATCAAAAGATGGATACATCTAACCAGTGTAATTCTATGGAATAACATAAATCCATAAAGAGCTTGGTATCTGCTGTGGTCTGAATGTTTATGTCTTCCACAAATTAATATGTTAAAATCTTAACCCCCAAGGAGATGGTATTGAGAGGTGAGGCCTTTGGGGCATGATTAGGTCTTAAGAGTGTGGCCTTCATGATTGAGTTTAGTGCCCTCATAAAAGAGACCCCAGAAATCTAGCTCACCCCTTCCACCGCATGAGGACACATCTGGAAAGTGCTATGTATGAACCAGAAAGTGGGCTTCACCAGACACCAAATCTGCCAGTGTCTTGATGTTGGGCTAGGGGCTTCCCAGCCTCCAGGACTATGAGAAATAAATTTCTGCTGTCTATAAGCCTCCCAGTCCATGGTATTTCATTGCAGCAGCCAGAATGGACTGAGACAGTATCTCTGGACAAGACCCCAAGTCCCTTTCAGCCTCCTTGACTCAGTCTTGTTTTAATACATTCTGCTCCCACCTCACTCAACTCACACAATTCTCTTCCGCCCTGATTTCAACACTACTTTATCATCATGAACACATCTTTCTCTTTGTTTCCTTCTCCCACTAGATGACGAGCTTCTAAAGGGCAGGGACTGTCATTTCTTCTCTATTCCCTGATGGGCTGCCACATGCCAAGCTAGGAAGGCATTCCACAAAGGAAAATTAAATGGTGAAACACTAGATGCTCTAATCTCATCAAGTGTCTGTCTCCCTAAAGCCCACCTTGTGTACTCGTTTAATCCTCTCCACTGCCTGTGGCTCAGTTTGGAACACTTCCCATTTTTCTCCTTTTATTTAAAAAATAAACAAGGAGTGATAAGGCCTATTGTCTCATTTTCTGCAACTGACTTGGATTAATTTAAATCAATCCTATTAAGTCCAACAAGTAACATCTAAAACCTTCTGAAAATCCTTCTTCCAACTGGAAATGCAAGCTAGTTGTAGGCCTAGTTGAGGGATGCACACTATTAAGAAGCCACAGAAGGGGAAAGAATTTTTCAAAATCAAACAAACAAAGGTGTTTAACCAAACTAGACCAGGTGCTGGGTGTTTATCTGGCAGAGCTGGTCCACTATTAAGTTGATTTACATATTACAGTTCAATTAACCAGAACCCAACTCATCAACACTCTTAATTAAAGGGAATTACTTCCTCATATTTGACTCTGTCTGAAGAAAAGTAATGTATATTGAGAGTTCACTAACATACATAGGATACAAGAACCCCGCCAGTGAGATATTGCTATCTCCTTTTTCAAGCGAGGGCACAAAGTTAAACTCCAAAGTAAAGGAAGAATAGTCTTCCCACTACACACACTGTAAGTGTTAATTAGAACAACCGAGTTCTGGGGCATGTCCTCAAGTTCTCAATATATTCCATCCAAACTTCTATCTTTTCTGTTTCTAGGTGGAGTCCTATGTGATAACAATGATAGTTTCCACTTACCTGGAGGGCTTACTACACACCAAGGTACTCTGATTATTTAATCTTCATAGCAGCCCTACACAATAGGTATTATTATTTGCATATTTTACAGATAGGGAAACTGAAGCATACAACGAAGTTTAAAATTGACCCAATGTCACATGTTTTATAAGTGGTAAAGCCTGAGTTTGAACCCAGGCAGTGTAATACCAGAATATGCCTTCTTAAGCACTAGAGGAACTTTGTTATTTGCTACGATGTTAGTCAATATCCAGGATGACAACCATGAGGTCAAAAAGATCTCATGCTCTTCAATACTCTTATTATTTAAGAGTAATAATAAAAGTAAGAGTAAGTTATTGACACTCACATAATTGTACTTTTGTCACAAAGCAGACACTGACATTTTAGAAAGATTTTCACTATTGTTGGTTAAAATAAAATGGGTTTCAAGTTAATCCAATACACTGTAGCTGGCATACAGTAGGGGCTTAAGAATATTTTGTTGAATGAGCAAATGAATGTGCACCCATAAATTTCTGAGAGCACACCATTCCATTCCCTAAGCATTCCGATTAGTGTTTGTGTGACTTGGCTGGCTTCCTTCCTTCCTTCCTTCCTTCCTTCCTTCCTTCCTTCCTTCCTTCCTTCCTTCCTCCTTTCACGGTCATTCACTTTTTGAACCATTTATTGAACAGAGCACTCTGGATCGGGCAAGTATGAAAGATGCTCATGGCAGAGTGGAAGATGTAACCCTTCAGTGTTCTGGACATGCTGGAAAGGTA